GAGACCTAGGGATGGACTAGAAAGGACCACTGCTGTGTGAGCAGCCTCAGAGACCATGGCTACAACAGTCCACCGCCGTGCACCGTGATGTGTGCGCACAGTAAGTCTCCTGGCTCATTCAGGACACTTTGGTTTGGAGGGTAAGACAGAAAATTCTTAAGGGTAGCTCAGCTGCTGCCTCACATCTGTTGCATAATATAACATGCTGTGAATAAAGGTACAGAGTATAAACTGGCTCTTCTCCTGCGCATTCTCATAGCAGGCTTCATCTAGGCCAGTGGTCGGCAAACTCACTAGTCAACAGAGCCAACTATCAACAGGACAACAATTGAAATTTCTTTTGAGAGCCAATTTTTAAAAACAAACTTCTTCTAACGCCATTTCTTCAAGATAGACTCGCCCAGGCAGTGGTATCTTGTGGAAGAGCCACACTCAAGGGGCCAAAGAGCTGCGTGTGGCTCGCGAGCCGCGGTTTGCCGACCACAGATCTAGGTGATGTGAGCAGCACGTCTTTGCTGGCTACTTAGGACCACAGGCAAGTGTACCTGGTGCAAATATGTAAAGGATGCTAAATGATGCAGCTCAGAGCCTGGGAGGAAAGGCTGGGGTTCAGTGAAGAGGGAAGAGGGAAGGCAAGTTTGAGGACAGGGTGGGGGTTCCAGAGAGAACAAGAGAAAGGGATCAGAAAAGCTAAAGTGCAACTTCAAAATATAAATTATTTTAAGCAGAAGAGAGGTTCTAAATTGCTACTGTTCGCATAGGCACGGTTTCATTCAAATTTAAATGGGTTGTTTCCTTTTCCTTCTCAGACTGCAGAATGGCCCTAGAGCGGCTTAAAGCTACTGCGCATTGTTTGAGAAGGGACAATAAGAGCAGGAAGAGCTGAATAGTGCAAAGCACTCGGGGAAATTGGGGTGGGGTGGAGAGACGCAGAGATGAAGTTGTTTTTACACTTTTACAAGAAAGTGTTCCAGTTGTAGTTACTGAGCCCCTTTAGCTGAACTCTGCTCCCTAATGGGGAGAGCTTACGTTACACATGCACAAAGGAATAAATGCATTTCTATTTATTTATTTTTTCAAAAGCTGTTCAGAACAGATTAAAAAATAACTCACAGAGCAATAATAATCCTTGATATTTCTATGCAAAGAGGTCCAAGCAAACATTTCCACCAAATGATGGAGCGCAGCCATTGAAACCCTGAAAAATTAGGCTACATACACTAGAGTAGTTTATTATGAGCTAATACTTTAAAAACAAGTAGATCCTACAGAAGAATACTGTTCAAATGGAATGTTTAAAAATAACATTTATTAATAAATATCTTATAAAATTCTAAATTAATAGATTCCTGTTCAAATTTTGCTTTGGTCCTTGACTTCCACTGTATACACACATACATACATATATATTTTCTTAGATGACTTTTATTAACCAGAAAGCACATTCTATTCTAACCAAATGGCTAGTTTTATAGCCATTACTGAAGCTTAACCTACCACCCCCAGCCAAAGGCTGGTCTTCAGCTGCAGCTAGTTTAAGATTTCGAATGAGCAATCAACAGACACACTCCAATGTGCTTCACTAACAGGCAACCACCAGCTGAACGCTCACTGTTGATGCCCCTCCATTGGGAACTTGCTGCGTTTGAATGAATCAGCTCCAAAGAGCATTTGCCCCAAGTCAGTCCCTCGTGCTAACCATGCGGTGACAGCACAGACCGCTCCTACCAGCTGTGCTGAAATGGTGACTTGGCGGACATTGACTTGGAGGTGGGAGCAGGGGGAGGGCGAGGGTATAGGGAAGACTTCTGACCTAACACCTGGCTTTGAAATAAGTGCATTCATCCATGGCTAGGATCCCCACCGTACCTGTCCCTGCGCATGCTGGGAAGTGTCTTAAGGAGAAACAATTCAGATGAGGATGCCTCAGTTTCTGGGAGGATTCAGCTGGTAGAAACACTACCATGTGCACTCACCTAAGGTGTTAATCCCATCACATAAGGCAGGGAGGAAAAGGTAGAGGTGTCCAGGTAGGCTGGTAGGGACTTCAGAGGTACATCCTGCCGAAAAAAATATGCCGAGGGAGCGGGGAAGACAGCGCTGCAGAGCCCTGGGGGTGAATGCTCTGAATATCATGGAATTATGGACGGGTGACCCAGCAGCTCAGTGGGAGAGAAGAATGGGGAGAAAGACATTTTCCCAGATTGGCAAAAAGTGTAGGGCAAGAGGGAGGACTGATTATTCCATAGTCCGGAGAAAGCGGGTTCTTCAAGGGAAATCACTTCATATTGACAAGCTGAGTGTTGGATGTGACCCATGAGCCTTTCTGTTTGGGATTTCAAGCCCTGAGAACGAGCTGGCATCTCCCAGGGACTGTTTCCACACTGCTAATGAACACACCTAACGGCCTTGCGTGCAACAAGACAGTTCCTTCTAATTATACTCGGAGGCCCGTTGGCCAACGTGTGTGGCTGGTTCGCCTACTTAGCATAAAGAACAGACATAATTGAGCTATATAGAATGCACATCAGTCAAACTGTCAAGCTGCTGAATTAAGGAAACTTAGGCAAGTTCTTAACTGCAGAGGCTTTGGGTTCAGCAACTGAATATTTCAGTCAAGAGGTGGAACAACAGTAAACCATAATTTTAGTGACAACCCACTCCCTGGACATTCTGGTATCACCGATGGATTTTTAAAAAATCCGTTTCATAAGTGCTATGCATGCAGTAAAGAAAGAAAAGTTTTTGTTTACTTAAAGCAAAAATTAAAATTAAAAATTAAAAAAAGTAAACATTTCAATGAGCTCTTTCTCCTTTGTAGAGGGTCACATAGATAGTCCTAGGCAGGAGTTATGAAAAATTATTTTTCATTTCAATAAAGAAATAAGAATGTTAACTTCTTTTTTTAGCTAAATCTTCAATGTTTCTTCAGAAGCCAGTTAGGTTAAACCACTCAACTGTTACTGCTGGGATTCAAAACAAGACAGAATAAAAAACAACTTTGAATTCAGTATTTAAAATACTTAAAAATGATATGTTCATCTAAAATATAGAAAATCCTTTTTGTTTACATTTTTCTTTTTTTTTTTCACTTTTCCTTTTTTTTTTTCTTTTTTTGTTTGTTTTTGCTTTGATTTTTAGAACATATATCCAAGTCATGAGTTTCACTGGATACTCAAAAGTTTCTTTCGAAAGCACTGCATACATGAAAAGATTGCTGATAAATATGATTTAAAAAGTAAGTTAGTAGATAAAACTGAAACTAGTTATAAAAATCATGCTTCACAACTCTCATATTTTCTTTTTTCTCCAAAATAGATTCTTAAACTATAGTGAGAGAAAAACACACACACATCCTTCCTTTTTCTGAACTCTTATAAAAGCTACACCTTTTGTAAAATACTATTCCTTTAAATCCCATGAACACACACACACACACCCACACCCACACACACAGACACTCATGTTAGGAGGTCAAGCATTCAAATGGAGATGAAACACCAGCACCTGTCTAGACTGCTAAAGAGAAACATTAGCCTGGTTATTTGTGAGATGTGATATTAAAACATTAGCACAGTAGAATGGCTTGATTCAAGGAGGCACAACTGTGGTTTGGAGCTATCTGCTTTGTATAATGGGCAATTCCACAAAAGTTGTTGAAAATGTAAATCGGAATTGTTCAGGAGAGTGGAACAGCCATGTCCATGGGGTCCTTTCTTTCGCTGCTGTGGGAGGGCGGGGAGGGCCCCAATGGAGCGTTGGACTTTCTTTCTCTCTTTGTTCCTCCGCCAGTTCATCTACTTTCACCCACCACAACTGCAAACCTGGTTCCATAGGCTTAAGAAAAAACACACACAACAATAAATCTTAGGCTATTAGTAGCTGATGACTGAACAATGTAATTTGTGTAGTGAATAGAGCCCTTCTGAATTATTATAAAGTACATGGGTTTTCGACGTTATAGACAGGCCATATAAAACCAGCTGTGAGTTGAGGGTGTGATGTTATAGCCTCGCATCGTGATTTGGACTTTCACAATCGAGGCTTACAAGGCTCCCTTCCCTAGTGTCTCCACAGCTGGCACTCAACAGTGCTTCACCTATGGCTAAGCCACTTTTTATTTGCTCTGATTATTAAAAACATTAAATCAGGCACATTAAACATCTCCTGGTTACTATTTTGTAAGAAGCACGAGTTGAATGAACTCCAGCTGCAGGTCAACGGCAAGGGAAGCGATGGCTAGGTCCACGTTGCTGAGGTTTGCTTTTAATTTTTTCTTTAAATATTATTTTCTTCTTTACATGCAATGCTCAAGGGGGGAAAATAAAGCAGAAAAAAGTCAAGACATAGAGTAAACAGGGAGGCCAGGAAGGAGTGGGAATGGAGAAGGAAGTGGGCATTGGAGGAAGTGGGCCAAGGGCAGCGGGAGGTGGGGGAGATGCCTGGTGGCGTTATTTGGACATCAGTGGATCTTATGCTTTTATAGTAAGAGAAACAAAGCTGTGGAAGAGGCTCTGTGTTTATCTGGGATTCTGGTGACATCACAGCACAAGCTCAACATGGGCTATGATGTCATCAGACTTCTCACCCAGTTGCCTTGCATCTGCTGACATCTAAGCATGCCTCTGTTTTGGCTATAAGCTGCGGCTTAACAAGAGTCAATCTCAGGCAGAGGGTTGGACTGATAATGAAACCATGACTATATACAGAAAACATTCAGTTCATAAACATGTAACTGGTACCAGAACACTGGAGGAAAGCACCAAAGCATTTCCCAAGCCGATAGATAGTAATTGCATAACTCCCCCTTTTTTTTTTTTTTTTCTCATAGAGCTAAGTATAAAAGACAACATTTCCATAATGACTATAAAAACGAAAGCCAGTCTCTGAAGAACTGAGGCGTCTTCCAGGTCTGAGTTAATTCTAAAAATGCCCTTCAAGGAAAGGACACACGGGGCGCGCGGCCGCTCTTCTTGGAGGCAAGGTCTGACCCCTGGGTTTTAAAGGATCGGGTTCAGGTCTGTTCTGTGAGTGGTGAGCTGGCTGAGGGTGGAGCTCCCCACCACCTCGCTGACCGCCGAGGACGTGGTGATGGTGTTATGCTGGATGACCTGCTGCTGGGAGCAAGCAGGGACCGGGCTCGCGGGAGGGCTGCTCTCCGGACCTAGAAAAAAACACACACACACGCCCCAATATAGCTCTCTGCTGGGTGACTTGTGGGCTACTCACATCTAGAAAAACACTTCTAGATGTTTGCTAGAAATAGAGGAGTTTTCACATATGTTCTACCTGGGGGTTAATTCCAGAACTTTAAACGGTAGTCACAAAGCTATGCCTTCCCAGTTTAGAGCTACAAGCAAAGCCATGCTTTCTAGATCAGCAGAATGATTGGACGTGTTTGAGTCTTGGGATGTGACGTTCCCCACCTGGTATTTTCAAATAGCCGTCCATACATCAAATGTGGAAAAATACTCACATGTGGTGGGAGACTCTGTGTTGCTCAATCTAAAAAATTATTTGAAAATAAATTGACCTTCAGCCGTGAGTCCCTGCACCTCCCACCACCCCCTACTCAACTAATAGTTAACCAATCTACTGACATTCCAGCTGCAGAACTTGGGGCTTCAGAAAAGGGATCCACTTTAGGTATTGACAAACTGAGGCAAGGTCACCGGTTTTTCAGCTCAGTGAATAACATGCTGCATAGCTTGAGGCGCTGGATGTGATTCACCCAAGGTCTGCTTGCCAGCCCATGGATTTCTCTGGAAGATTGCTGGCCCCTGGTAACTGGGCGCCAGAAGGCCATTTTTTTCTACTGTTTGCAGAGCTGGAACTGGGGAGCGTTTTACAATGTGAAATGCCAGGGAAAGTCTAGCCAGAAATTATCGGGAGGTGGTGGGCGTGGTGAAGCCGGAGGCCTGCCTCTGGTGGCATTGTCTGTAGCCACTGGAGTTCTAGTGTATCTCCTGGATGGACAGCCTCCACTTTACTCCTGCTCTTTCAATACAGTCGAGTGCAAAATTAGAGGCAAAACACTGAGTATGAAAAACAGCAAGAAAGTCAGTGACTTACTTAGATATCCTTGTGACTCTTTCTGCATGGCTGTGATTGGGCAATCTTTATGCGTTAGCAACAACTGCTTCAGCTGCGCCACCTCGTTTTTCAACATGGACACTTCGTTCTGGAAAGAGACGTCGGAGAGACATGTTGAGAAGACAGTGCACACAAACCTGAGGCCCCCGTGCCCTTCCAGCAGTGAGATCGGTGAGCTTTTCTGTTACGTCTGAGTGGCATTGAGAATATTATTTAATAGGATTCGTCTGGGAAGCTGTAGCTTGCCTTCACTTCGGCCCTCCCCCCGCACATTTCCTGGGGCTTCCTGCAGAGACGAGGTTTCAAAATTCAAGAGCTGGGTCCTATCAAAACTGCAGAGCCCACCGTTCAGGTTTACTCTGGAGCCAGGTTACGTGGGTGGAATCTCCACTCGATGAGTGATTCCAGGCAGGTAATGTAACCCTGTGAGCTCCAGTGACATTGTTTATAAGATGGGGATCAGGACAGCACAAAAGTTCTCTGAGTTGCTGTGAGGATTAAATGAGGTCGTGGATGTAAAACACTCAGAACAAGGCCTAGCACATAGTGAGCACTCAATAAAATTTGGCTATGGCAATTGCCATCTGTCACTGCCTGACAAGCTCAGGTTGATGAGGTGAACGTGAGGCAATGGGAAGACTTGTAGGGCTTCCAACTGAAAATACCGTCAGAATAAGCTGACCCATCTACCACCAGATTTCCCCGAAGTTCCAAATGGGCTCTAGTTCAACAGAGCACGTCCCCTGCCTGACGCTCACTTAGCAGGAGGCATAGAGGCACCTGGCACAAGCATTGGTCCTGGACTAGTGGGATGAGGTCAGCCTAGGGAGACATGGGCCATGAACTTCTGGATCATGATAGAATCAATTTCATGGGTTCATTAACTATTTTGGCTAATTTCAGTCTATAAAGTCTTCCTCTGTGCCCCTTCCCTCTCCCCGCATCAGTAGCAGGGTGTTGTGGATTGTATGTGAATGTTCCTTATTCACTTAAATAAGTGCCTTGGATCTCCACTTAATGTGGTAATTCAAAGGATAAGCCCGTGACTTTGCATAATAATTTACTTGGCACCGTTGCCTACAAGTACTTAGAATAAATGGCTGGCTCCAAGGTGCTTCCACTTGATAAAAGTAACCTAGACACACAGCACTATCTCAAATAAGCCATTTCACAGTTATGATACATAACACCCTCTCTCCGGCCTGTGCTCATTAGTGGCTGCCAGGCATGATGTGCATGGGAGACGTTAAAGAAACATGCACACAGGAAAGGCGTTTTAACACTGCTGTCATTAAGTCATAGCTACACTTTCAATATGAGTTTGGCTTTTCAGGCATGTATTTATCACCTAGAAAAGTAAGTTTGGGATTCTAGAAGTTAATTATATAAAAAAATTTTTTGGAAACTTGTTTTAAACAATACCTCCCATTTCCACATTCATTAGCACAATGCACTATAGGCAATCAGATGTTGAGTAGCATAAATAACAAAAATTTTAAAAATCTCATTCCAGAGCATTTCTTACTCTCTTTCAAATTTACAAAAAAAAATCGATGGAAGAAATTAGCATCATTAATGAATAAATCACTTCATGGCACAGGAAAATTGCTCTTAAATCTGAGAACAGTCAGCAAGGTGACTTGTACGTCCTGCCTCCAAATGAGTGTGACTGATCACAGCCAAAAGTGACCCTTGTCAATTCCGGGGTCAGTGGGACAACTTTATTTATAGGACAATTTATTTTAGCCCTAAACACGAATTCTCTCCTCTCTGATTTCATGCCCACTTAAATTCAGACAGCTTCCCCTGCTTGTACCAGCTACCTCTCTGCTTAAAATAAGTTGTGTAAAGAAAGCTACTTTTAGATCATTATATAGAAGGCAGCCCCAGGTTAAAAACAACAAACAACAACAAAACTGAAAAGGAGAAAAAGAAAACTAGATGTGTGACTATCGAGCCCGGCTGCCTAATGCCATGTGGTTCTCATGGGGACTACAAAATGACCCTTTTCTGAAAGGGCCACTGCTGGACATCTGCTCCCCAACAAGAAACTCTCAGCCCCAGGTGACACAGGGGAAGGTGCCTAGAAAGCGGAGTGAAGTTCCAAGTTGTAGAGCGTCCACCCACACTGTCCTCCTGTGACCCAGGAAACAACCAACAAGGACAGTGTTTCCAACAAAACCAAACAACAGGACTTTCTTACGCTTCAGGAAGAAAGAAAAAATTCCACTTTGTGGCCCTCTCAAAAGGTTGATCTTGGTCCCCACTGCTTCCCCCACGATGTCCTGGGCAGTCCCCTGACTTCCCAACTTCCCAGGCACGGTGTGTTCTTTGCCTCTTCCTTAAGAAAACACTCGGAATTCCGTTCTTTGGGTTTCTGCAGTGGCAAGGAGCTAACTGCCCACAATTGTTGGCATACCCCAAATTTTTTCACAATAAACCAACCTTTCACTTTCGTGAGAGGCCACGATAAAACAGCACCAATCACCACTACGAAATGTGGTGTCCCTGCCTATAACCGAAGCTCCATACAGAACATACGACTGCAGTGGCATTTTTGTCTGTAGATTGCAAAGCACCTTATTAATAAATCTATATGTTGTAAGTATAGAAACTGAGGCCCTAGGAGTTGTGAAGGTCTGTAAAAATGTGGGAACTTTGGAAGTACTGTGACAACTGGCCATCATTGAGAGATATATGTGGATATGGACATATTTCTTAATGTAGTGTGTTAGTAATTATGTTACTTACTAGTAGCTATGTTGTGGTTAGGAAATGAATGGCGATTAATATTCTCGGTAGAGAAAAACAATCAGTCTCTTGTTTAGCCCATACACACATAATTACGATGCTGATAAGGACTGAATCCAAGTCTAACGGCCACAGAAATTCACGGGGCAAGTTTCCTGTGGAAAAGGAACTCTCAACTGCAAGTTAAGAATAATAGGGTTTGGCGTCCCAAGTTGCCTTCCCAACCAAACGTAAAACGAGATCGTTGGACTAGTTCTCTAGTTCTTTCTTGCAAGGTAGTTTCTTATTCTATGAGTGTTTCTGTGTTACCTTCTTCTGAGAAAGTTAATTGCCTCATAATCTAATGAAGAACTCAATCTTGACTTTTTAGTCGTTGGTTAACTACTTTTGGTATATTCTCAAACATGCTTATCTTTTAAGTTTCATATTTTCTATGGGAGCCAGTTGTAGCACCTCCTACGCTTCCAAATGTTATCAGATTCCAAAGCAGCATTAAGTTTCATTTAGTGCAAAATTTGGTGTGTGTGTGTGTGTGTGTGTGTGTGTGTGTGTGTGTGTGTGTTGCTGCGTGTATAGAGTCTTCATCAGAGTCCATAATGGAGGCTTTGGGGTAAGAAATGTCAAGATTGGCTGCCCTGGAAAAAGCAGAGGTATCCTGTGCTGTGCACATGCATAATCGCCCTATAGATTCGGGATCGATAGCCTGACAGGTAGGACATGCACAAATACCAGACTCTCTTAAACAAAACGCCGTCCAAGGTAACATAAGTAGAACCACCTTGAATTCATTTAGAAAGAGAACAAGCAGATAACAAATGTTTTGAAATTCATGAAAGGGATCAATGCAGCCTGCAGCTCTAGGGAAATAAAAACCAGGACCTCTGCAGGCATTTTCTTACTCTGAGTTACCTTCCTTTATACATTAAGGCACTTCACCATTTTTTTCTTTTTGACTCCCTGTGTAGGTTATAACAGTGTAAGGTCTTTATACTTTGAGAAAGCAGAGTAGTACTAATCAGTACTGATTCTCCTGCTAAAATCAGCCCATCTAAGCTGGTTTGGGTTTGCTGCTAACTGAAGTAGTCAGCCATTTAAATAGAGGGTAAATGAGATATTGTTGGATTAATCTGTTCTTAAATCCCTCAGTTGCCTTGGGATGAAGTGGCGCCCCCTACAGAGACATTCAATCCTATAATAACATACTTTAAATAAGCACTCTGAGAAGTCCCTCAAAGCTACACTTGCAGTTTTGAGTTTGGGGGATGTCATTTTGTTAATAGGATAAATCCAGAATGCTTATTGATGCAAACAGTAGTCTGTGCCAAAAAAATCAAATCAAAATGGGCTCTGCAATGTAGCCCTCCCCCACTTCGTTCTGTAGATTAGCTGAAGCCAGGTTTGGTTCATTCCGAAACAAAGGACTTTCAATTTGTCAAGCAACAGTTCCCATCTGGCCTATTCTCTTGCCAAGTCCCAAACCTGGACTCATGTGTCTAAAATTTCAGCAGCGACTTAGGCCATGTGTCTCTGTACTAAAAAAGAAAAGCAATTATTTCAGTGGGTGACCAGATGATTTCCATATCATGCATCGAACACAAACAGTCTGCTTACGGAGCCCCACATCAGCAGCTGATGACTTTAGAGCTGATTTTTGCTACTCTGTCAGAGAAAAGAATGTGGATATCTTTAGTTTCAGAACTTTCTAGAATGAAAGGTCACAGAGCAAGAGGGATTAGGTCAAGAGAAGACTTATGGGGGTCCTCATCCTGATGCTGGCTGGTTGTGTGACTTGTGGGAAGACTTGTCACGTCCCCTGAGACTTATTTTCTCCCTAAACAAAATGTCAGATTGGGTGGCGTCTCCCATCTCCCTCAATTCTATATCTGCGCTGACCTCTTAGGTAGAGATGTGTCATGAGGGAAGGAAATGAGGTCTGGGAGTCTGACTTTGTTTTCTTAGGTCTGATTTTTCCAATCTGAAACTCTGCAACCTCACTAGAAGGTTCTATGCTGGAAAACAACTCAAAAGTGGCAGCTGGCCATCCAGACCTTGGATATTCCATTTGGCTGGAGTTTGTTTGCTTAGCACCTTCCATTTCTGTTTACTTAAAATTTGCTCACTGAACCAGCGTCAAGAGAGACATCTTTTTCTTCTGACAAAGGTCCACTGAGAGGGAAAGGGTCACTCAGAGGTAGAGATTTGCTACCCTCTCCGGCGTCACAAGGCGTGGGGCAGAGCACCCACCAGCACAGAGAAAGGCAGCGGTGTGGTTTCTGTCCCTCGGAACCAAGCGGTGGCTGGAGAAATTCAACAATGCAGGCTTTTCAGAGACTGCCCCTTCCCCGGGCACCGCCTCACCAACCCCACATCTCGGGACCTGTTGGTTGATTTTCAAGGGCAAGAATTCTAACTTTTCTTTTCATTAGCCATGCCGGCCCTAAAGAAATGTAAAAACTCATGGATTAGGGTCTGTAAAGGGTAAATGTACCTTATCTGTTGTGTAAAAGCAATAATATACATGCATCTTGCCAAATCATGAACACATCTGGCCTCGAGGTCCATGGCATCTTTACTTTCCTGGCTCTCTGCTGGGACCCTCCGTGTTCTCATGCTCTAGGACCACAGTCAATGCCTGGAGTCATTCCGCAATGACTCCTTTTAGTGGAAACTGATTTAAACATTTGTTGGCATCTGATCCATGCCAGCTGGCTCCCTCGTCTAAGGCAGTGGTTTCAATCCGGGACGATTTTGCCTCCGCAAAGGACATTTGGCAACATCTGGAGACTTCTTGGTTGTCACAAATGGAGGGGAGGGGGTAAAGGGTGCTACTGATAGCCAGTGGGGAGAGATCAAGGATACCGTACAACACGTGCGACACACAGGATACAACAGAGAAGTACCAAGTATTGAGTACTGAGCCCAAAAAGTCAACATTGTCAAGACAGAAACCCTGCAGATTTTCAAGGTGTTCTTACAGACCTCAGACCTGGTAGCAAATTCAAGGGCCTCCCATCCTTCGGCCAGAGCAGCACCATGGCTGTAATATTTGCTAGGTCCACGTCCACCAGGACTCTTATTTACTTAACATGTTTGTACGAATTAACTCACTTTGTAATGACTTAGCCTCATCCTTACTAATAAGGTTTGAGAAATTGAAGGTTTGATGTTCTAATGACATTTTTCAATACAAATAAAATAGAGAACTATGTGTATTAAGAGTATTTGTCTACCTTCTACCTTCTCACTCCTCGCATGCTACCATGCCTGCCAGATTCTAGAATTACAGACTCGCAGGCTGGAGTGACTCTCGAGGTGTCTAAGTCCAGCCATCCTACTGTGGCTCCACTCCCTTCAGATGCATCCCTGCCAAGTGGCCAGGCCGCCAGCTCTCGGGGCATCCAGAGACAGGGAACTTATTCAGCATTCACTTATTCAGCAGAGGCTGAGTGTGCACATTCAGAATTCATCATGCTAACTAGACACCAGCTAGAAATGGGGAGGTAGGTGGTGGTGGGGAGAAGGCAATTAGACACAGCTCCCACCCTGTTATAGCATATAAAATATTGGGGGGAATAATTATAAGTATTGGCTTCTTCCCCTCATATCTGCTCTACATGTTTCTCAGGTTCTTTCTCATGTCTATCACGAAAAGAATGATACATTTAGGGGGAAGAGTGAACATCCATAGATTATGATATTTAGTCCATATATCACCCAAATTTTCTTTGTATATTTTCAACTTATACATCGGATGCCCCAAAGTCATTCCCATTAATGGAACTGAATATGCAAACGCGTTGGGGATTTGGCAGCCTAATTGCTCCTTTCTAAGGATGCACAGAGAACCCCGTGTGGGAGCGGAAGGTGACCATGAACTTCTGAGAAACAGCTCTTTCCCGGCTAGGGCGACCTTCCTCTCCTCCCTCCTCTTTAGCCATCCCTCTGCCCCTGGACTGCTGGTCACATCTCTTCAGTGCTTTTCCCTGCCGTGAACAGGGCGCTGCTTTCTGTGTTAGAACAATTGCCCCGGACACATCATTTCACAGCGCCGAGCCTGCTGGAGACGCCCCACGCCTGGCGTTTCCCACCCTTCTCCCAAACGCTCCTGATGAGGCCTCTGGAGTGTCCCCAGGGAGCCACCCCTGGAAGGAACAAATCACACAGGATTAAAATCTCAAGTTTGAAAATGAGAGAGAAAAACGTGCCTCTTCTTATAGAGCCCAGTAATAAACATGAGCCGCCCTTTCCTCCTTTAAACAAAAATATAGATAATCTCGTGCGAGCCAAAGCAACCCCTCACCGGTGACTTTGCAGAAGTGAGTGCCTTTCAGGTGAAAATTACATGCCAGGCATTGGGCAAACGGCTTTGCACACATTAGTTCATTTATTCCTCCCAGCAACTCTGTGGGGTTATTTTCCCACTTTATAGACGAGGAAACTGAGAGCTGGCGAGAGTAAACACAGCAAGTGATTGCTGAGCCTGATGTGACCCTCCGAAGCCAGAGTTCCCAGGCCTGTGACTGATGGGGCAGGCTCTCCCTCCTAGAGCTGTGCGGGCGGACTGAGACTGAGGGCTTATTGTCCCCAGTGAATGGGGCTGGCGGAGGGAGCCTGCAGTTGCTCTGGGGGCTGATGTGTGGTGTTACTGCTCAGGGCACCGGGCACCAAGTGCTGCCACAGGAAGTGCCATCTGCACACAGGGCCTTTGAGGGCTGTGGAAGGGGCAGTGGCTGCACCTGAAGCTGCATGTTTGTCTGGGTGAGCTCTTCGGCTTTCTTTTCCAGTGACATCACCCAGACCTTCCTCTTCTGTCTGCAGCGGGTGGCGGCAGCCCGGTTCCGTTCCAGAAATTTCCTCCTCCTCTCATCCGGATCCTCGTCCACCACCCTTCGCCGGCGCCCCCCGGTGGGCTGGGGCGGCTGTATTGTCTGGGTTGGTTGCATCTGCTGTGTAGCTGGTGAGACCTGCTGGGACAGAGAAGGAGGGTGACAGGTTGGGGAGGGAGCACACACCAGGCTGGGATTGAAAGGCAAAGCGCAGCCGAGTCCATGGCTTTAGTAAGCATCTCCCACCTGTCTGCTCAGAGTGCAGTCAGCAGGGACACCTCTTGAGCTCAGAGAGCAAAAGCATCCACTGAGTTATCTTGCATGATATTTTGATCAGATAGAACTGATGACTTGTGAAAAGATAGTCATAGATTTTTCCCTACAGGCACTGGCTGAGCCCTGGCAGAGGGACACTTTGTTTCTCCTCCTTCAGACTCTAAAACTATTTTATTTAAGGTACATTTTAAAATGGTTAAGTGCCAGTGTCTGGCTGCAGGTGAGCACTGAGAGGCCAGGGTTAGTGTCACAATATGGAGAGTCTGCTGCCATCAGCGGAAAAGCCTGTCTGGGCAGGCGGGGAGCTCCTGGCATCCTGATGCTTTTAAACCCTGTTCCCAGGGCCCAGCTCTGGGCCCTCATCCCACTGTAGCCCCCTCAGAAGATCCCGTGAGCTCCCGAAAGCAGTTGGATCCCGTGTTCAGGGTTTCAGGGTTTGACTGAAGCAGAGGGAGGCCGAGGGAGCCTAGGCGATTGGGGAGCAGGGTCTCTACAAACAGGCACTGAGCAGCACTGAGCCCTGCCCTACACTGCGCCGGGACAGGGAGGGACTGTTGTGCTTCCCCATTTACAGCCGTTATAAGGAAATCCGAGGAGTGGCAAAGCACTTTATTAAAACGTTTACTGTGCTTACAGAGTCCCGGTAAGATCTGCTTGGGGCTCAGCCACATCTAAGATTTGGGAGACCCCCACACATACAGGTTTATTCCCTCCACCAGGCAGACACACAGCGCCCAGTGGAATTTCTACCACGGACTCTTTGTGTGTCTGGACACTAACCCTTTCTTTGCTCCCCTTCTTCATTCTCCATAAAGGGTGTTTCTCTCCCCTCACCCCCTTTCTCAGTCACGCCAGCTTATGGCTGCAATACCCATAAAGTTGTTTTTCAAGAGACATTTAACCTGCTGAAATAACAGGCAAAAGTTTTAAAAGTGAATACCAGCAACCCCTTCTACCATATTCTAACCCTGTGATTGAAATCAATCAGAATGACTGTAATTGCACTAATAATGGCCACTGGTTGACATCAGCTGACTGCTGGTGATATATTTCAATTCGCAAACCTATCAAACATTGTATGAGTAACTGCAAAAGCATCAGGCTCAGGCTTGAGGTTGGACTGCCTCTTGGTAATTTTATTTAAAGCTAAGACATTTTCTAAAATTTTTTTTTTATTGTTGATTTCTTTCCTCCCCATCACAGAGGAATAAGAAAATAAATTGTTGCCCTAAATGGTTTGGCTCAGTGGATAGAGCATTGGCCTGTGGACTGAAGGGTTCCAGGTTTGGTTCTGATCAAGGGCATGTACCTTGGTTTCGGGCACATCCCCAGTAGGGGGGATACAGGAGGCAGCTGATTGATGTTTCTCTCTCATCAATGTTTCTAGCTCTCTATCCCTCTCTCTTCTTCTCTGTAAAAATCAATAAAATATATTAAAAAAAGAAAATAAATTGTTTAAGGTATTACCCCACCTGAGTGGATACAAAGGCATAATCCTTATTATGGGAAAAGAGTTAGCTCTTATCCTTTCAGATGTTAACTTCTAAGCTATCACCACAAAGCAAAGAATTAGAGGGGAACTCATGACTTTGGCTATTTCTGCCTTTACCATTTCATTTTGTGAATTAGTGGTCTCTAGATAAGATTCTAGAGTAGGCAAAACTGGGTTTTAATTTCCATTGCAGGGATCTTTTTTCAATACTGAGTAACTTTAATCTTTATCCTTTTATATTAAAAAAATATACTTTTAATGATTTCAGAGAGAGAGAGAGAGAGACAGAAACATAACTGATGAGAATCATCGACGGGCTGCCTCCTAGTGGAGGTCCAGCCTGCAACCCGGCATGTGCCCTGACTGGGAATCAAACTGTGACCTTCTGGTTCACAGATCAACGTTCAACCACTGAGCCATGAGGGCTGAGCAATCTTCTGACACGTTTCCTGTGCTTCACCCAAAGGGATAAATTATATGGTGGTTTCAGATTCAGTCCTGGTTCAGGGTTCAAGGTGTGCTCTAATTAAGAGAAATTTCTCTTGGCCAAGGAGTGACATCCTTACATGCAAGAGAATTACAAGAAGCCAGGAGAGATTGCAAATGCAACCCTAAGGCCAGATTTGTGTCCCTGGTAATATTGTTATTTATCACTTTATTTTAAAAATGGGTTTCTGTTGGTATTGATGTTCTGAAAATTTTGACCAAAGAGAATGAATTGTGATTTTAAAAAGACAGAATTTTTCCAAATCCTCTTCAGCCCTAGTTGGTTTGGCTCAGTGTTTAGAGTGTCAACCCTCAAACTGAAGGATTGAGGTTTAATTCTGGTCAAGGGCACAGACCTCAGTTGCAGAGTTGCAGGCTCAATTCCCACTCAGGAGCAAGTGCAGATGACAACCAATCAATGTGTCTCTCTCACATTGCTGTTGCTCTCTCTCTTTCCCCCTCTCTTAAAAAAATAGCAAAATAAAATCAATGGAAACATATTCGAGGGTGAGGATTAAAAAACAACAACCCCAAATAAACTTCTATTCCTACTATTTTGATAATAATAATACAATTAAGCAATATGACAAGCTCTCACTAATTAGCCAAGTTTAAGAGTGGTATTTTCAATACCATCTAAATAATCTTGTTCAAATTTTAATAAGACCAACCTGGATTCTTTCTTTTTAGTATAGGATAAAAAACACACACAACTGTTTGGGCATCTAATTATAATAGCAATGAACTAACTGTGTATATAATTGGCCTATATAAGCTTACTTGAAATGGAGGGCAATTGGCTAACTGGTAATTAGTTAATGAGTAGCTTTTATATTCAAGGAACTGTTAAACTTGTCTGTACACCAAGGCAACCAAAATTTGATGTTATCCTTCCCCTTAAAAAATAAGTACACATGTGAATCTCCTTGCCTATTTTTGGCCTTATAGTTTTCTTTCTCCCTTCAAAGTACATGTCCCACTAGGACAATGATCAGCAAACTGTGGCTCGTGAGCCGTGGTTTGCCGCTCTGTTGACTAATGATTTTGCCAACCACTGCACTAGGGCACTTGACTATAAAGGTGCTTTGGATAGTATTTTATTGCTATACTCTTGCTCAACTTCAGTCACATTCCTTGGCTTTAGAATTAATCATGGCCAATATGTAGTGAAAACCATGCTGAGGACTTTGCAAACATTTGCTTACTTAATGTACCTAAGACTATGACCTTAGTGTATTATTACCCAATTTTGCAGATGGAAAGACTGAGGCTTAGGGAAGTTAATCTGACCACCGTCACACAGGAGGAAGTAAAGTGGGCAAAGAATGGAAGTTTTCTCCAAAGTCTGCACTGTTGTTTGCTATATTGAACACCACAAGAACCTTTGCAAAAGTAAGCTTATCTAGGAAATCAGCTTATCTACTGAATAGCTCATCTACTGAGAGCTGCTTGTGGATGACCAGCCATGTGGATGGCTATCCAGGTTCGGTGTGTGTTAGGGAAGGGGGTCCAAGAGCTCACGAAGCTGCCCGGTGTGAGGTCCAGAGGCAGACGATGAATAAGTGTTATTTGGCGGTCCCAGGCTTCGGACACCATTCTGACCCAGCTGCTTGGAAGCTGGCAGAGTGGAGTGGGTGGAGGGATGCCAAAGGTTGTCCTGCTTGAAGATCCAAAGTGTCTAGGCTAGCCATGCTCTGAAGCATGCCCTTCGTCCACTTGCTAAAACTCGGGTACACGGGCCCGCCTCTCCTGTTGGGCTGGGTGACATCATGTCTGCCTGGTCCCCCAACTCTCTCTCAGTTGAGTCTAAATGCTGGCTTCCTTTCCAGCCACTCCTGGTGACTCCCACCCCCTGGGACTTGGCCCTTGGCTTGAACTGATGATCTGCAGAGCTTGGCTCTCTGTCCGCTCCTCCAACGCATTTCACAGTGGGCGGGATGACTCACCTTTCTTCACCATTTACACAGCACCTTATGCCCCGACGTCCATTATTGAGCCTCCTGTCTGCCTGGAATGTTACTCTTTAGGTTTTTAGCATTTAATGTTATTTAGAATATTGCCATTGTAGTTAGCTTCCATTTTACAGGAGACAAAAATTGAGACTCTATAATGTTTTGAAGCACTGAGGCTAGAATCATAGTTAGTATTAACCTAATTTTCTCATTCTTTATCCACATCTTTCTTCACATGCTTAAATTCTTCCTACTCTTCACGTTGATAATACATTTTTAGGGTTAACTTCGTAACACACTGCAGAAAGAGATTTTGGAGAACTTGAAGTTTACATTTGTCCCTGGAGCCTAGAGCTAAAATTTACTGTAATACTTACAGAAACCATGATCTGGTAGTATTTTATGGGTAACCATTATCTCCTAAGAAATAAAGCCCCCCAGAATGTCAGACAAAACACCTGGGCTGGTCAAACAAAGTTGCTACCCATGACCCCCCAGTAGAGCTTGTACTGTTAACAGGAAGGAGGAAGAGATCACAAAAAGGGTCTACCTGTGCTTGGTTGCCGGAGTGCAGGGGTGGGTGTGGCGAGGTCTGGTGATGTGCTGGGTGTGCATGAAGGTGGGAGTGGGAGTGATGATGTGGGTGGTTCTGCTGGTGATGGGGCTGAGGATGGGGGTGGTGAGCTGGGTGCTGGTGCTGGTGTGGGTAGGGGTGATGGGCTGGCAGTGTCTGGTGCTGATGCGGGTGCGAGTGCATGTGATGGTGCGGCGTCTGGTCCTGCCGGGAGCCCATCATTTCCATCATGTGTCCCATGGTGTTCATATTCCCATTGGACATAGCAGCAGGGTGGTGAGTCAACGCGGCCTTCAGCCTCTGAAACAACAAAACAAGAGGGGACAGCTAGGTCAGACACGTACACAGTGGGGATTCTGAATCAGAATGACTTGTGTTTCCAGTTCCTTAATATTTTATGGTGCTAGTGGTAACCCTGTTTCACTGGTAGCAGTTTGACTTTTATATTAATTTCACATTTTCATATATAATATGGTATGATAGAACTGAGGGCCAATGCCAGTCATAATGAACATTTGAGCTGGATACCCTATCAAGGTTTAGACATTCTACTGAAACATATTTCCCATTGTCCATATGTTTATCATATCCTATTGACAGCCGAATACAAGTAAAAAGCAACAAAAACCATTTACCATGGTAATGCCACTGAGCACAGGGCCCAGCTCTGCATTTTGTAAAAGTCACAAGAATAAAAGGTTTTTGCCTTTCAAAAGATTTCTCAGACACAGAAAGGAAGTAACTACATGTTTTGGAATATAGGAACTACTAATGCTATTTAAGGGTTTCAAATTAGATTATAATCCATCACTTTGGGAGGCAATATGTAGGACTTTTCCATTTGTTACCATGATGTAACTCAGAGTCCCTCCTGATAACTTAATTTCCCTCACACAGTAAGTTTCTTCTGATTCTGGAAGGAAGTGAGGAAAGTTGAAGATTACAGCTTCTCTGATGCGACATCAACAGGTCTGTGTCTAACACAAAAGCATTATCTATTCACCAGCAAACAGACATGCAGGGCTCAGTCAACTTTTTCTAAAGGGAGTCAGAAAGTAAATATTTTCGTCATTATGCCTAAGGGTCTCCTGTCACAAGACTCAGCTCTGCCCTTTGAGTGCAAATGCAGCTGTATAAGGTATGTACATGAATGATCCTGGTACAACTTCAGTTAGGGACAGGAAATTTGACTTTCAAAGGATTTTCATCTGACCTGAAATGCTTTTTTACTTTTGATTTTTAAAAATAATTTAAAAAATCCAAAAACCATTGTTAGCTCCTGTGCTGTGCAAATTAGGTCATGGGACAGACTTGGCCCATAGACCATCATTTCCTGGTCCTGATTTAAAAATTCAGTTGGTAATCAGTTTCATTGCAGTTTCTTGAAGATTGTTTTTTTTTTTTCTTCTATACAGCCATTTATCATCATATCTTGAGGGGCCCCGTGTGCTAAGTACTGTATAATACAGTGACGGCTTAGAAATGTATCTTCTGCAGAGGTGATAATCTAGTTGGTAAGCTCACATTGGCTTCATAAGGTATTTACAAGGGAGCTAAAGTTCTCTCCTGATTTGTATTCTTATCTGATAGATAACTGTGGGGTGTGAGCACTGAGAAAAAATAGAGTCAGAGTCCTATTTAAATGATTAAAGCAAATACGTTACAGCCCTATACAAAATTAATGATTCTCAACTGATCAGAATAAACTATTGATAAATACCAATTCCATTCAACAATGTCTTTACTTAAACATAAAGAACCTCCACATTAAAAAAAAAAAAAAAGGAGTGGGGTGGGGCTTGGCAGACCTATATGTTAGTTATTGAAAACACTTCCTACATCCTCATTCAGTAACTACTCTATCATGAGCAATAGCTATGAACCTTCATCATGGAAATCCTGAAGAAGTTGTTTTCTGAATTCCTAGGAAGGAATAGATGCTCGATACTGTGTTTGCTACTAATGAACTAAGTGAATTAATATTCCTCACCTCCAATTTTTAGAAATGATGTCATTGTTTTAATAAAAATGCTCATTATAAAACATTTAAGCAATGCTTAAAAGTACAATGAAGTCACCAAATACATTGTTTATACTTGGTGGGAGAACAGCATTCTCAAATCTCTAAATGCACATGCAGATGGAGGAACATGGAGAATGACTTCACACCAGTGGGATCATAATAGCATGTGATTTTATATTTATACTAGGGGCTCAGTGCATGAATTCGTGCACCTTGAAAGGAACTGTGGGCTTTGAGGCTGCGGTGGGCACAGGGGCGGGTCGCGTGTGCCCCAGCCTGGCCCCTCCCATCTTGGATCTGGTCCCCTGTCTGCTGACAGCCCTGCTCCCACCGCCACTGCTGATGGTACAGAGCAATTGGGGATGGAGCCGTCAGCTGGTGCAAACAACAGCTGCTGCCCTGATTGCCCTTCAGTACCAGGGGGAGATGGAGAAGCCCTGATTGCCCCTCAGGGCTTCTCCATCTCCCCCTGGCCGCCACCTCTTGCACCTGCTGAAGGCACTGAGAGATCAGGACCGGTGTCAGGAACTGGCACAACAGGTGTGAGCAGTGGCTCCAGTGCCGGCAACAGGTGGGATGCCTGGCAGGACCCCAGCAGAAACAATGAATTTTCAGTAACTAACAGAGGCTTGCCCTGATGACAGTGGCCAGTGCCCTGCCTTGGTCTGACACCCCTGCTCACCTGCTCCACCATCCCGCTGTGGCCATCACCCATTATATTCTGCATGCACCCCTGGTGGTCAGAGCATATCATAGCAACCGAATGTTCTGCTGTTTGATCTATTTGCATATTAGAGTCATTTATCTTTATTGTTAAAAGTATTACAGATGTCCTCTTTTTCCCCCTGTCCCCCACTGACCCCCTCCACTCTGCTCCTCTCCCTCCCAAGCCCTTCTGTTGTCTGTGTTCATGGGTTATGCATATACTAGACGCCAGGTGCACGGATTTGTGCATTGGTGGGGGCCCTCAGTCTGGCCTGGCCTGTGGGGATCGGGCTGAAACCAGCTCTTTGACCCCCTGAGGGGATTGCAAGAGAGTGGTTCTCAGGTGACGCACCCTGGAATCGGGCTCCTTCCTCTTTGGTTCTAGGTGCCACCCAAGAACCGCAGCTGCCAAGTCACTGCAGCTCAGCAGCTCCTATGCTGAGCATCTGACCTCCCGGTGGTCAGTGCACGTCAAAGTTATTGGTTGGAGCATCTGTCTCCCGGTGGTCATTGTGTGTCATAGATACTGGTCAAACAGTCAGTGGTCAGTTAAGCTTTTATATATATAGATAGTGTGATTTTAAAAGCTGTGGTTGAATATAATATAAGCAAAAGAAATGAGACTGAATAAATTGCTGGAATATATATATATATATATATTTATATATATATATATAAATATATATATATATATATATTTAACCCCAAATGACAATTCCAAACTTAACAGTGAATAAAATTATGAAAAAAAGATTATAATGAAATCATTGTTGTTGTTTTTTAAATTGACATATTAGATATTAATAGTTTCAAAACTATTCTTTGTAATTTCATTATTAGATAAATATATAGTTGCATAATTTAAAAAAAAATAAACTATTACAAGAATATGAGGTGAAAAAATAAAGGCACCTGCCTACCGTTCTCTAAGCCCCAGTTCCATTACTCAGAAGTTACCACCATTCATCCCTCAGACATTTCCTTGGCACTTCTAAGAATGCACTAGTGCAAGCCCTTGTTATGATACGTAGTTTCGTATGTTGTGTTTTTTCACTTTAACACTGTATCTCTGACACCTATCTATATCATCCAAGGCTAATTTAATGGCTGGCATTAATTGAGTACTTACTACATGCCACTTCTCTTTCTGTCTTCTACAAGTATTAATTCAACTAATCCTCAGGACAACTCTGCAAGGCTAAAAGTGAGGCTTAGCCATGTGCCAAGTTTATACCACTAGAGGGGAGAGAAGGTGCCAGAAGTCATGCCATGCATACTTTGCCAAAAACAGGAATAAACTGTGCTATGCCACCTCCCCACCATCAGAAGGAAAGGCAGAAAGAAGAGAAGAGGCTCAACAAGTTGGCATGAGGAGGTGCCTTTGCTGCATGGTTTAGTGGCAGGCTGTGCGTGTTCCCAGACACATAACTGGAGATCACGATACAGTTGTTCTGAAACTTGGCAGAGGGAAGGTAAGAATTTCCAGGAAGCTCAGACGCAACAAAGGATTATCTAGGGCGCAGTGTGATCACCTTTCTTGTTATGCTTGTGAAGAATGAGTGTATACTTGTATTTCCCCCCAAAACACAGATCTGATAAGGTCTCCTCTCCCTGTCCTTACTATGTAACCCTTGGCCATATGGCACGTCTATGTCTTTCTAATGCTCATGGGATGAATGTCAAAGTCCTTGGTGTGACCTATGCACAGGCACTACAGTGTGTGGCTCTGTAGGCAGCTGGGCTGTAAAAGTCACTGTCAAAGGGCTCCCTGCTCCACACCCTGCCTGCCCTCCAAGGAATGATAATAGAAACGAAAGAAAACGTAAATAAACAAAAGAATGCACGTCAACCTCATCTTGATATATTCTCCCTGAAAAAGTGGCAAGGAAAATTGAAAAGATGTGTAGGAGTGGGTCACTATATCTTCCCTTCAAAGCTACAAACAACTCTTCCACCTTTAATTAGGAGCAAATGGAGCCTGACAAATAAATACTATGTACCAGATCTTCATCTCTCAAATAATTAGCTTGTGCTGTTAAGGGAAATTACTTGATTGCCTCAAGTCTATTCTTGCACGTTTCACGCCAAGACAATAATCCTAGTCAAGCTTATAACATTCCATTTAATTATTCACTCAACAAATATTTACTGGGCATTGAGTTAGGCATATCGTTATTTATTTGCCCACTACATGAAGGAAATAGGAAGCACATAAAACCAAAGCTTTTTCAAAGCAAAGGAGAAAACTCTGAAGGTTTCCAAGCCTCCCCACCACCCCCTAGAGAATCTCAGGACTAAGGTCAAGTCCGCCCTCCAAGCACCAGCCTTCATCTTTGAAGGAAGATGGTGAAGATAAATGATCATCGAGCCGCTCTGCATATGCCACATGCAATCTTCTCCGTGTCCTTTCTAAACAGAGAGTCACTTCTCAAAGTCCTAAGGAGCCTCTGCTCCCCTGAATCCTGGTGCCAACAAGAGTCACTGCGCTGGAAATCATTAAAATACACCAAATTCACATATTTGTACCCTACTCGCTTGGGGATGATAAATGAATGGTAAACGAGTCCAAGCT